TTTAAATGTAGGACTAGGGTTTAAATGTAGGACTGGGGTTTAAATGGAGGGATGGGGTTTAAATGGAGGGCTGGGGTTTAAATGTAGGACTGGGGTTTAAATGTAGTACTGGGGTTTAAATGTAGGGCTGGGGTTTAAATGCGGGACTGGGGTTTAAATGGAGGGCTGGGGTTTAAATGGAGGGCTGGGGTTTAAATGGAGGACTGGGGTTTAAATGGAGGGCTGGGGTTTATATGGAGGGGTGGAGTTTAAATGTAGGGCTGGGGTTTAAATATTGGGCTGGGGTTTAAATGTAGGACTGGGGTTTAAATGTAGGACTGGGGTTTAAATGTAGGACTGGGGTTTAAATGTAGGGCTGGGGTTTAAATGTAGGACTGGGGTTTAAATGTAGGACTATGGTTTAAATGTAGGGCTGGGGTTTAAATGTAGGGCTGGGGTTTAAATGCAGGGCTGGGGTTTAAATGTAGGACTGGGGTTTAAATGTAGGACTGGGGTTTAAATGTAGGGCTGGGGTTTAAATGTAGGGCTGGGGTTTAAATGGAGGACTGGGGTTTAAATTCATGACTAGGGTTTAAATGGAGAACTGGGGTTTAAATGTAGGGCTGGGGTTTAAATGTAGTGCTGGGGTTTAAATGTAGGGCTGGGGTTTAAATGTAGGGCTGGGGTTTAAATGTAGGGCTGGGGTTTAAATGGAGGATTGGGGTTTAAATTGATGACCAGGGTTTAAATGGAGAACTGGGGTTTAAATGTAGGGCTGGGGTTTAAATGTAGGGCTGGGGTTTAAATGGAGGGCTGGGGTTTAAATGTAGGGCTGGGGTTTAAATGGAGGGCTGGGGTTTAAATGGAGGGCTGGGGTTTAAATGTAGGGCTGGGGTTTAAATGTAGGGCTGGGGTTTAAATGGAGGACTGGGGTTTAAATGGAGGGCTGGGGTTTAAATGTAGGGCTGGGGTTTAAATGCGGGACAGGTGGGAGCGGTGGTGTAGCGGTTAGCGCTACGCCGGCGACCCGAGTTCGATTCCCGCTCGCGGCCACCAACGTCAACGACGATTAACTGAACCGGCCCTGGGCCTCCCCTACGTCGACTCAGCCTCACTGGGTGCGGTGCCTAGTGCACGTCGCCACTCGGGAGACAAAAGCCGGCGCGTGCGTGGTTGCCCGCCTTCATAGGTTGAATACTCGCTAACAGCGCTTGCAGTCTGTGACAGACTCCACGGGGGGATTTGTTTCCTTTGGAAGGGGGCTGGCGCGGCGGGGGGGGGGGGGAGCAGAGGGGAGGGGGATCGGGAGGAAGAGGAGGAGGAGGCCGAACGTTATTTTGTGTTCTTGTTTTTTTTTACTCCGGACCAAATTTGACGTCAATGAGATTAGAAACCCCCGCTTAAGAAGGAAAAAAAAAATTGGACCGTGCAACGAGCCTGCTGCTCCGTGTCCTTGTAGGGAGATTCTCTGTCCCTCTCTCGCCGCTTCAGCTCCTTCGAGCGCGCCAACCCTCCCACCGCACCCTGCCCCTAACACACACAACCGCACATCCACACGCATCCGCCGTTTGCGGTATTCCTCCGAGTTTTTACGACCCGGTGGACTGCGTGTGTAGTAGTTTTTTTTTTACATCGCTATTATTTAACAAATGCTTTTTTTTTTTCGAGGGGGGCGTCCGATGTTTCAACCCCGACCCCCTCTACCTGCCCTGTTTCTCTTCCCTCGCCCCCAGCGGACCCGGCTGCGTTATTTCATTAGCTCCGTGGCGGTGATGCTTCCCTGTCACCTTTTTTTCCTCTATTTTTGTTTTTTGCCGATTAGCGAATTGCCCCCCTTCGTGCGAAAATCCGTCCGCCGGGTTCCCAAGCCGCGCCTGCGATGAGCGGTACCAGCGGTGTCAATATCGCCCCCACCCCCCCTGCGTAGGATGATGAGGCTCGTGAAGGACGCTGCTGCTGCTGCTGGGCCAGTTGGAGGGCAGTCCGCACCTCCAGCAAACGACGGAGGGCGGAGGAGCGACGCTCACGAAAACGAGCGCCGGGGTGGATAAAGCACAGCGAGTTGGCACAGTGAAGGGGGCACAGGTGGTGCATCGGCCAGTCATCTCAGTCAGTCGACCCGTGGCACCTGCGTGGTCTGCCCCGTGACCTCCTGCCAGCGGGCGTTCGACACTTCACGTGGCCTCAACGTGCACCTAGCCTGGCACGAGCGCCGTTGTGACGTGAACCGCCACTAGGCAGCGAGTGGCGGCTGCTTGTTGTTGTTGTTGTTGTCATTGTTGTTGTCATTGTTATTATTGCTGTTGTTGTCGTGCGCTGCTCGCTAGCGGGGGTACTTGCCACCAGAAAGTCTGTTGAGGCTATAGGGGGGTACTTTTGTCTTTGTGTAGATGTACACAAACACATATGGTGTCCCCCTACTGTGATTCCATACAACAAAGACAAAGATCCCCCGTGTAGCCTTAACAGACTGCTGGGGCAAGTGCTGTTAGCAAGTAGCACCTATGAAGGCCGGTAACGGTACACGAGGGGGTGGGTGGCCAGCACCACGCCCGACCGCCTTTGTATCCCCAGTGGCGATGTTTACTACACACCGCACCAGGTCCTCATTTGTGGCTAAGTCGACCATACACGCACGAGGCTAAGACAAAGATCCCCCGTGTAGCCTCAACAGAATGTTGGGGCGAGTGCCGTTAGCGAGCAACCATGAAGAAGGTCAGCCACAGCACACGAGGGCGTGGCCAACACCACGCCAGGCCGCCTTTGTCTCCCCCCTCCACTTCCACCCCCCCCCCCCTCCTAGTGGTTATGTTTAATAGGCACCGCACACGATATGCTAATTTTGAGGCTGAGTCGACCCAGGGGGTGACCAGGCATCAGCTCGGATAATCGCCGTGTCAACTCGCACGGTTTGCCCGAGTTCTTGTACGGGGACGTTGGGTGTTCAGGGCCATCCGGCGGTCCGACCGTCTGTGACGCGACTTTGTAGGATGAACGTTGAGGTTTATAAGGGGCACACCGGGTTTACCAACAAGGTCTGACTCGGTTTCTAACAAGGTAGGGCACTTATAAGGTGTTGACAGGTTGTGGGGTTATCTCGCCGGGTTTCGTAGCGTTAGTGCGCTAACCGCTGCACCACCGCTCCCCCTCCCTCCCTCCCTCCCTCCCCCTCCCCTCCCTCCCTCCCTCCCTCCCTCCCCCCACCTTATCTCCCTCTGCGATAGATTTTCGAGGGGTTCTGTCAACAAAGACGCGCCTATTATGGCCCTGAGTTTGCGTGGCGGGCTATTGCTTTGCGTGTTCGGGACCCAGAGCATGCGGAGGGAGGCGATGCGCTGGTGGTCTTCCCCGTGGGTGTAGAGGGGAGCGCCCCTTTGCCAACAACGCGTGGTCGACCCCGGCGAGACCGGTCGTAGCCAGCGAGCCTGACACTCGCTGCCGATGAAACTCGCCGTATCGGGCTGCGCGAAGCCACTCGGCTGACGCAGCGAAAAGCAAACGCGCTCGGCTTTATAGGCGGGGACAGACAGAGCGGAGAGTTTCCCGCTTGCCACGCGAATCGCGAGGCTTCCCTCGATATCCGCGGGTGTTCGGTTTGTGGCGAACGACGCCCGCTGCCTCGCGCGGCTGGGCCGTTTCTGGTGCGCAAATTCGCTCTATGCGGTTCGAATTCACTCAGCATGCGGCTGAGACAGGCAAAGCTGTCTCACGCGCAGAGACGCTTCGCATCGAGATACGTACACGTATAGATACGTGCTTTTTTATAATTGACTATTTTTTTTACCAGCTCTTGCTCGGATGCGAACCTGGTCAACCCTAATGATAGCTCTACGAAGTTCCTTATCATCGTCTTCGACGTGTGGACATTGGAACATTAAGGCGGTACGCCCGGGTTCCCATAGTGTCCCCCGGCACTCGCATCACGTCCGTGATGCGGTCATTTGCGGTCTGTTGATGGTCGGCGACGCGGCAATCGACTCATCTCGACGAGCTGCACACACTACGAGGCACCACCACTTACGGTGCGTATCGCGAGCGTTGAGTGTGTTGCACTGACGTCGGATTGATTGGGTACCCCAGTCGCGGAGTGAAGTAACACCCCTGGGGAAAAAAAAATAGTGTCCCAGAAATAAAATATTTAATTGCCTCGGCCAGTTTGTATTATTATTATTCGCCGCGAGGATCAATTACAGTAGCCAAATTTACTCCCAACTCGCGACGTTCATTCTAAATGTGGGAGGGGAAAACCGGAGGACCCGGAGAAAAATCCACGCGACCACGGGGAGAGAGAGAGAGACACGCAAACTCCAAATATACAGCAGGTATTAGGGTCGGGATCAAACCCCACGACCTGCTGTACACCAGGCGAGGTAGTTAACATCTCCTAGCCACCGTGATGATGATGATGATGATGGAGAGAGACACGCAAACTCCAAATATACAGCAGGCGTCAGGGTCGTTATTAAACCCACGACATCCTGCATACCAGGCGAGGTAGTTAACATCTCCTAGCCACCACCACCTCCTGTAGCACCACCTCCTCTACATCCATCATCTCTACCTCCACAACCACTTCTAGCATCACCATCATCACCACCTCCACCACAAACTCAACTACCACCACAAACTTAATCACCACCACAAACTCCACCATCACCACCACAAACTGTCCCACCACCACCACAAACTCAACCACCACCGCCACAATCTCCACTACAATCACCACCACCACAAACTGCCCCACCACCACCACAAACTCAACCACCACAACAACCACCACCACAAACTGCCCCACCACCACCACCACCACCACCACAAACTCAACCACCACCACCACCGCCACCACCACCACAATCTCCACAGCAACCACTACCACAATCTCCACTACAACAACCACCACCACCACCACAATAACCGCCACCACCGCCACCTCCACTGCCACAAACTGCCCCACCACTACCACCACCACCACAGACTCAACCACCACCACCAAAGAGCCGCCGTCTGGGGCCTGCACTCACGTAGATAAGCCCCGAGTAGTAGCGATCCTTGAGGTTGTGCAGCACGGACGCTTCGTTGAGGCACGTGAGCTCCGCCATGTCCTCCACCTTGGAGAACTTGGGCGGGTTCATCTTCTGGACGTCTCCCTGGCTCACGGTGACCTTCTTGCTGCTCTCCACCAGCTCCACCAGCACCTCGTCGCCCTTTTCCTCTGCGGGGGGCAAACACGCGGAATGGATTTACTCCGACGGTGGAAGGGATTCCGGATCTCGGGGCTGGTTTTTTTTTCCTGGATCAAACATTTTTTGTTCTCAAACGAAACTTTTTTTTGGTAACATTTTTTTTTAAATCAGTTAAGGCCCCCAAACTTATCTTTGTAGCCCCCCTTTTTTTTAAAGAAGCGATGATCTGACCATCATTTAATGACAGGTCAACGAAGTGACTCATCCGCGTTTAGCAAAAACTTCATATTTAGATTTTAGCAACGCCCATTGATGTTATTCAGATGCCTTAGACGCTATAACATTTCCACGCGACAAGCCACTTTGTTGAGCTATAATTTGCGGCCAGATCGCTTCTGAAAAATAAATAAATACCTGAGTGCGTTTTTTTTGCGTGGTATGATGGGGATGGTTTCGTTTTTAATTTGTATTTGTTTGGGTGTTTTGTTGACCTTTCCTGTACTCTGCTGTCGTGTTTTTTGTACTGTTTGTTGTTATGACGTTCTTATCCCGTGTCCCTACTGGACATCGGTAAACAAGAGCTTTATAGCTCATCAGATTCCTACTGCAGTGTAAATATTCTGATTATATCAGTGTAGTTACTACCTGCAAGTGTGTACTATATACACACCACCTGCCAAAGTATTTTGGTATCAGTTCACCATGGAACAGTTCACCATGGGAGTCCAGTTTACCATGGAATTCCAGTTTACCATGGGAGTCCAGGTCACCATTAGAATCCAGTTTACCATGGAAGTCCAGTTTACCATGGGAGTCCAGTTCACCATGGAAGTCCAGTTTACCATGGGAGTCCAGTTCACCATGAGAATCCAGTTCACCATGGAAGTCCAGTTCACCATTAGAATCCAGTTTACCATGGAAGTCCAGATTACCATGGGAGTCCAGTTTACCATGGAAGTCCAGTTTACCATAACAGTCTAGTTTACCATGGGAGTCCAGTTTACCATGGAAGTTCAGTTTACCATGGGACAGTTCACCATAGAAGTCCAGTTTACCATGGAACAGTTCACCATGGAAGTCCAGTTCACCATTAGAATCCAGTTTACCATGGAAGTCCAGTTTACCATAACAGTCTAGTTTACCATGGGAGTCCAGTTTACCATAGAAGTCCAGTTTACCATGGAAGTCCGGTTTACCATGGAAGTCCAGTTTACCATAACAGTCTAGTTTACCATGGGAGTCCAGTTCACCATAGAAGTCCAGTTTACCATGGAACAGTTCACCATAGAAGTCCAGTTTACCATGGAACAGTTCACCATAGAAGTCCAGTTTACCATGGGAGTCCAGTTTACCATGGAGGTCCAGTTTACCATGGGAGTCCAGTTTTGCATGGAAGTCCAGTTTACCATGAGAGTCCAGTTTTGCATGGAAGTACAGTTTACCATGGAAGTCCGGTTTACCATGGAAGTCCGGTTTACCATGGAACAGTTCACCATGGAAGTCCAGTTTACCATGGAACAGTTCACCATGGAAGTCCAGTTCACCATTAGAATCCAGTTTACCATGGAAGTCCAGTTTACCATAACAGTCTAGTTTACCATGGGAGTCCAGTTCACCATAGAAGTCCAGTTTACCATGGAACAGTTCACCATAGAAGTCCAGTTTACCATGGAACAGTTCACCATAGAAGTCCAGTTCACCATGGAAGTCCAGTTTACCATGGAACAGTTCACCATGGAAGTTCAGTTCACCATGGGCAGGGGCAGTCAACGTGCGGCTCCGGATCCGCACGCGTCACTTTAAGGGACTGATTCGTGACCGCGATTTATTAAGGGACCACCACCACCATCACCATCGCCACCACCACCGCCACCACCGCCACCACCGCCACCACCACTGCCACCACCGCCACCAACGCCGCAGTCTCTCGTCGTGACGCACCACGTTTGCAGTGCGGCTCTCGAAATATTGAGTTGGGTTTTATTAATCGATTTACCAAATTCGAAAAAAAAACCTCAATGCCTCTTCTTGTTATTTGTCTTGTCGACCTCTCCCTCCCTCCCTCCACCCCCACCCACCCCCTGGAGTATCCCCTCGCCCACCACCGCACCCCTCCCTACACCACCCTGTACGGGCACCCACCAACCTGGACCAGCCAATCACAACACCATGCCAGCACCCACCCCACCCACCCTACCCACCCCACCCACTTCACTCACCCCACCCACCTCACCCACCAACCTCACTCACCAAATCCACCCCACCCACCCCACTCACCCAATCCACCCCATCCACCCCACCAACACCACTCACCCCCACCCACCACACCCACCTCAGCCCACCCACCCCACCCCACTCACCCACCCCACCCAACCCACCCCACTCACTCACCCGCCCTACCCAACCACCCCACCCACCCCACCCCACCCACCCCACCCACCCACCCACTTACCCTACCTAACCACCCCACCCACCCCACCCACCCACCCCACTCACCCACCCCACCCACCCACCCCACCCACTCACCCACCCACCCCACCCACCCACTCACCCTACCTAACCACCCCACCCACCCCACCCACCCACCCCACTCACCCACCCCACCCACCCACCCCACCCACTCACCCACCCACCCCACCCACCCACTCACCCTACCTACCCACCCCACCCACCCCACCCACTCACCCTACCTACCCACCCCACCCACCCCACCCCACCCACTCACCCTACCCCAACCACCCCACCCCACCCACCCCACTCACCCCACCCACCCACCCCACCCACCACACCCACTTCAGCCCACTCACCCACCCCACCCACCTTATCCCAACCACCCCACCCACCCACCCCACCCACTCACCCTACCCCACCCACCCACCCTACCCAACCCCACCCACTCACCCTACCCACCCACCCCACCAACCCCACCCACCCCACCCCACCCCGGGGGCCCCGTCTCATCGCCACCCTCCCCGACACCTTTGACGCTGGCCGCCTCGAATCCATGCGTCTCGGAGGGCACCCACACCAGCCGCTTGGCGCTCCAGTCGGCCTGCGCCGCGGGGTTGTTCACGGCGCCTTTGTCCACGAACAGATACTGCTCGGCATCCACGTCCACCGACGACGCCTTGACAGGGGCGGTCGCAGGCGCAGCCGCCGCCGCCGCCTTCGTGACGGTCGGAGCGGCCGTGACACGGCCCGGGGTCACCTTGGCCGGTGGCTGTGACCGCATTGGGCCCGGCATGGTGCTGCTGTAGTTGCTGGAGCTGCTGCTGCTGCTGTAGTTGCTGCTGTAGCTGCTGCTGTAGCTGCTGCTATAGTTGCTGCTGTAGCTGCTGCTGCTGTAGTTGCTGGAGCTGCTGCTGCTGCTGCTGTAGCCGCTACTGCTGCTGTAGTTGCTGCTGCTGCTGTAGTTGCTGCTGCTGCTGTAGCTGCTGGAGCTGCTGCTGTAGTTGCTGCTGCTGGAGCTGCTGCTGTGCTACTACTGCTGTAGCTGATGCTGCTGCTGCTGTAGCTGCTGCTGCTACTGCTGTAGCTGCTGCTGCTGTGCTGCTACTGCTGTAGCTGCTGCTGCTACTGCTGTAGCTGCTGCTGCTGTGCTGCTACTGCTGTAGCTGCTGCTGCTACTGCTGTAGCTGCTGCGGATACTGCTACGGATGCTGCTGTAGCCGCTGCTACTGCTGTAGCCGCTGCTGTAGCTGCTGCTGCTGAAGCTGCTGCTGTGGTTGCTGCTGCTGTAGTTGCTGTTGTAGCCGCTGCTGCTGCTGCTGGTGAAGTAGTAGTTAGTGCCGCTGGATGTGTCGCTTGAAGTCTTCGTTGGAGTTGCTTGGCAATTCCCGAGGCTGGCGGCAGACAGTGGGCACCGTGTTGATTAGCGCGGTTGGCTAGGTACGGTGCGAAAGAAGTTCAAAGCACATAAATGCACGACCGTAAATGACGCGTGATTCGAATTCCGTTCGTGGCGGGTAATCGAAGTTGCGCGCACGTCAAAAGGCGATTATTGTCCACGTGGTGTCTGACTGTCTTCACGCAGAGGCCCATAGACTCACACAGAGACCCATAGACTCACACAGAGACCCATACACTCACACAGAGACACATAGACTCACACAGAGACCCATAGACTCACACAGAGACCCACAGACTCACACAGAGACCCACAGACTCACACAGAGACCCATAGACTCACACAGAGACCCATAGACTCACACAGAGACCCACAGACTCACACAGAGACCCATAGACTCACACAGAGACACATAGACTCACACAGAGACCCATAGACTCACACAGAGACCCATAGACTCACACGGATACCCATAGACTCACACAGATACCCATAGACTGACACAGAGACCAATAGACTCACACAGAGACACATAGACTCACACAGAGACCCATAGACTCACACAGAGACACATAGACTCACACAGAGACCGATAGACTCACATCTACTCCCATAGACTCACACAGAGACCCATAGACTCACACAGAGACCCATAGACTCACACAGAGACCCATAGACTCACACAGATAACCATAGACTCGCACAGAGACCCATAGACTCACATCTACTCCCATAGATTCACACAGAGACCCATAGACTCACACAGAGACCCATAGACTCACACAGAGACCCATAGACTCACACAGAGACCGATAGACTCACACAGAGACCCATAGACTCACACAGAAACCGATAGACTCACACAGAGACCCATAGACTCACACAGAGACCCATAGACTCACACAGAGGCCCATAGACTCACATCTACTCCCATAGATTCACACAGAGACCCATAGACTCACACAGAGACCGATAGACTCACACAGAGACGCATAGACTCACAGAGAGACCCGTAGACTCACACAGAGACCCATAGACTTGCATAGACTGAGATGTGATGAAACTAGGTTCGCAAGTGCTGTGAGTTGAGTGTCTCGGTCCGGTCACCAACAACTTGTACGCGAATTTACCCCCGTCCCCGCCCACCATCACATAAAATGAGATTCTTCATTTAACTTTGGCTGAATTCCAGCTCTGAGGCTTGTGGAACGGTGGGCTGATCGTCATGTGACGAACCCTCTACGCAGGGCACATCACAGCCGTCCCCTTAATGTGGATAACGAGCTCGATTTGAAGTGAACCCTCAGCAGTATTTCCTGAGACGTGATTTTTATCAGACACAGGATGATGCACTACTAGCAGCGGAGTTACGCACTCTCCTATCCCCGCTCTCATCTCAGTCCACTCCCCTCCACTCACTCTCCTGCCTCTCCCTCTCATCTCACTCCACTCCCCTCCACTCACTCTCCTACCTCTCCCCTCTCATCTCACTCCACTCCCCTCCACTCACTCTCCTACCTCTCCCCTCTCATCTCACTCCACTCCCCTCCACGCTCTCTCCTGCATCTCCCCTCTCATCTCACTCCACTCCCCTCCACGCTCTCTCCTGCCTCTCCCCTCTCATCTCACTCTACACCCCACCCACTCACTCTCCTGCCTCTCCCTCTCATCTCACTCTACTCCCCTCCACACTCTCTCCTGCCTCTCCCCTCTCATCTCACTCCACTCCCCTCCACTCACTCTCCTATCTCACCCTCTCATCTCACTCCACTCCCCACCCACTCACTCTCCTACCTCACCCTCTCATCTCACTCCACTCCCCTCGACGCACTCTCCTACCTCTCCCCTACCTCTCCGAAACAAAAACCGGCACCATCAGTTCAATTCCCATTCACGGCCAACATCAGGGGCGATTCACTTCACCAGTCCTGGCGCTCTCCTAGGTCGACTCAGCCTCAACGGAGCACCTGTTGGCGTCCCCACCCCCCCCCAAAAAAAAAAACCTTCCACGCTGGGGAGACAAAGGCGGCCGTGCGCAGATGTGGCCACACCAGCCCTACGTGCACAGAACCTACTTTAAATAGGTGCTCGCTTACAGCACTTGGCCGCTAACAGTTTGTGTGGGCTACGCGGGGAATCCTCATTTATTTGTGGGCCGCTGTTTCGCGCGTATCTGGCATCATAAGAAAGGAAATTTTAAAAAGCTGTTAACTAAATATTTTATTTTCCTACCGGTTAAGGGCCCACTGCTCAGGTTGCGTAGGCTCATTTTTTTTTCAGAAGTGACCTGGCCATCACGAATGACAGCTCAACGGAGGTGGCTTATCATCAAACGTGGGGGGAAATTCACGGCAGCGAAATAACTCTCAAGCGCTTGTTTATAAATTTGCGGAGGGAATATAAAACGGAGGACCTGGAGACAAATCCACGCTACCACGTTGGAGAGAGAGACACGCAAACTTCAAATATACAGCAGCAGCAGGCGTCATGGTCGGGATCAAACCCACGACCTCCTGCACACCATGCGAGGCAGTTAACATCTCCTAGCCACCGTGATGATGATGAGAGAGAGAGAGACACGCAAATTTCAAATATACAGCAGGCGTCGTTAGGGTCGGGATCAAACCCACGACCTTCTGCACACCAGGCGAGGTAGTTAACATCTCCTAGCCACCGTGATGATGATGATGATGATGAGAGAGACACGCAGACTTCAAATATACAGCAGGCGTCGTCAGGGTCGGGATCGAACCCACGACCTCCTGCACACCAGGCGAGGTAGTTAACATCTCCTAGCCACCGTGATGATGATGATGAGAGAGACACGCAAACTTCAAATATACAGCAGGCGTCGTTAGGGTCGGAATCAAACCCACGACCTCCTGCACACCAGGCGAGGTTGTTAACATCTCCTAACCAACCGTGGCATCCGCATGATCAGCAGTGACAAATGTGAAACAAAAACTCAAAAGTGCGCAGAGAGGCCTGAAGAGAGATGCATGCTGGGAATAACATTGAGAGACACACAGCGAGAGGGGAGCACGTGGATGAGAGAACACACACCGATTAGAGGCATTCGTCTTTCATCCAGCAGTGGACAGACCACAACGCCTAGGCTACAGGCATGGAGACATGCCACGCTTTGATTTGAATGGAGATGCACACAGAGGATCACAGCCATCATTCATCTCCATCCAGCAGGGGATACATCGTGGCGATCGTGATGAAATGATGATGGAGGTAGGGGAGGGGTTGGGGGGTGGGGGGGGAGATGCACGCTTGGATTTAGAACGAGAAACAAGAGGGAGAGAGGGAGGAACGAGTGGATTCTATAAAAACAAATCACAGTTGAATTTCGAGTTGGGAACACGTGAACGCGTGCCACGTTTTACCCCAGCACTTTACTGCTGGCTGAGAGGCGGTGGGGATGGTGATGGGTCAATAACCCCACCCCCCTCTATCTCACCCCCCCCCATTGTTTAAACAACTGCTGTGCCTGGAGATGGAGTCGAACCGTCGGCCGTCGGTTCGCAAAGTCCAGCGGTGCTGCTCAAAACAAACAAAAAATCATTACAGCCATTGCAGCAGCAGTAGCAGCAGCAGTAGCAGCAGCACTATCAGCAGCAACAGTAGCGGCAGCAGTAGTAGCAGCAACAGCAGCAGCAGCAGCTGTAGCAGCAGCAGTAGCAGCAGTAGCAGCAGCAATAGCAGCAGCAGCAGTAGCAACAGCAGTAACAGTAGCAACAACATTAGAGTGGCAACAGCAACAGCATCAGCAGGATCAGCAGCAGTAACAGCAGCAGCAGTAGCAACAGCAGTAGGAGCAGCAGTAGCAGCAACAGCAGCAGTAGCATCAGCAGTAGCAACAACATCAGCAGCAGCAACAGCAGCAGAATCAGCAGCAGCGCCAGCAGTATTAGCAGCATCACATCATTAAAAGCATGTTAATCGCTAGACATTTCGATGACGTACGGCAAAAAACCGGTATTTAACCGAGGTTCCTTACGACAAAGCCCCCCGCCCCCGCGATAAACAAAACCCGACGATTTTAACAACCAGACTGGGAATGGAGTGGCAGCCAGTTGATGAAACGAGCCGTAGAGGACAAACACCGTGGAGATGGAGCGATGATTCGGATTTTGTGCCACAAGGCTCTGGGTGGATGTGATGGAGATGGAGCGATGGATTTCGGCTCTTGTGTCAGAAGACTCTGGGTGGATGTGATGGAGATGGAGCGATGGATTTCAGCTCTTGTGTAACAGGACTCTGGGTGGATGTGATGAAGATGGGGCGATGCATTTCGGCTCTTGTGTCACAGAGCTCTGAGTTGCTGTGATGGAGATGGAGCGATGATTCGGCTCTTGTGTCACAGGACTCTGAGTGGATGTGATGGAGATGGAGCGATGATTCGGCTCTTGTGCCACAGGACTCTGGGTGGATGTGATGGAGAAGGAG